CCATGTGGACAAAAAATGACACGTGGCACATATCCTTTAGTGCACGTGGCATGCCACATGTCACTTTTTGGTACACGTAGCGTGCCACGTATCACTTTTTGGCACATGTGACGTGCCACGTGTCACTTTTTGGCACACGCGGCATGCCACGTGTCACTTTTTGATCCACGTGGTGTGCCACGTGTTACTTTTTGATCCACGTGGCATGCCACGTCGAACACCGTGACTGATCCGGTTGTCCTACCGTGACGGAGGGTGCAAAGTGGCAAAAAAATAAAACTTTAGGATGCGTTTTGGTCAAAATAAAAAAGTTGGGTGTAAAATGGTAGTCCGTACAAACTTAAGGGTGCAAAGTGACATTTATTAGGCAATTGCTTACAAGGTTGCTAGACTTCGCTTATTTTTTGATCCGAGTGAATGTGAAAGAATAGACGTATGGATAACAATTGAAGATATTAGGCAAACTTGAAAAACAACCAGGCATCCTTGCTTATGCTACCTTCAAACCAAGCATATGATATTTTGTTTTACTTTGGTTTAAGTTGTTTAGTTTTCAATTCTGCTCTTATAATTGTGGTGTTAGGCACCTAATTGCCTTTGATTTTAGGCGCATACTCCCTAAAACCTTATGGTTTTAGGATCATGTTCCATTGAAAGTGAATTTCATACAACTTTATGTGGTATTTTTTTTTCCTTTTTTGTTGGTTTGCTCATGTTTATGTTGGCTTATGGTGTTTGATAATGTTCTGTTTGGTGAAATATATATATTGTGGAGCGTTGAGTTGTTTATGAACATTGAAAGTTTAGGGCTCTAAATTGAGGAGTTTTTTTTTTTTTTTTTCCCACAAAGTTTAAACTCTTATTTGAACAATTGCGCAATCATCATGCATAAATAGACTTATTTATGGACCATCGTGCTTGCATGGTGAAAGATGATTAATTAAGCTAAAAAATAAATAAAAATTCATAATTACCATACACAAGGCAACTTCTTTTCTTATTCACCAAATTAGGAAAATTGATAAATTTCCAAATTTAGCAGCCACAAACACAAAGGCCTGCAGTGGACTTATTTTCAGTACATGTACACAAAACCATGACAAATTTCAACACATTATACTGGCTTTTGTTGCTCTACTATTTCCGAAAGGAGACAGCTACTACAGTCGCAGCGCTTATTAGTGCATTTGCACGCAATGCAGCAGCCACAGTCTGAAGGCCTATCGCATGCCTGGTTCTGGCATGGAGCTTGTGCTTCAATTCCTCGAGGCAACCCTAATCATCAATTTTGTTTTTAATTTTCACCGTATATTGATTACAGAAGAAAAGTAACACGTTATTAAAACTAGCAATTAACCCAAAAATCGGGTCTTTATTTGAGCATTTTGCCAAATGTTAGGTCCTTATTTTAGCAATTAACCCAAAAATAAGTTCAACGATATATCTTACACTTCTTATAAGTGTATAAGACAATTTAACCCTTAAACTAGATATAAAACTACCATTAATAAAACAAGGATAAATTACATAATTAACTACTTAACTTCTAGTAAGTTTCTGTTTTGGCCACCTAACAATTAAAACTAACAAATTGGTCACTAAAGTTGTGACATTATATTTTTGGGTCACTCTTCCATTAGTGGCTAACAGATTTATGATGGGGCAATGCCACATAAAACTAAATGCCATCTGGATACGGCCATGTGGCATGCTATATATTTTTATATTTTTTAAATGAATAAAAATCAATTTATATGAAATTTATAAAAAGAACCTAAACTAAAATAATTTTTAGCATGATTTTTCCTTCTTCATCTCTCTCTAAAACTAAAATTGGATTTGTCCTGCTCTTCAAAGCTCCGACCACGAAAATCCAAAAGCAAAGCCTCGCCACCACACCCGCGGTTTATTCTTCCCCTTGTCGGCACCATGTAGACCCAAAAGAATTAACCTTGTTTTCATTGATTAAGTACTAGTTATGGCTTATGCTCAATTTAAGCCAATATCAGAAAATTTTCGGAGAAAGAAAAAGGAAGAGGTGGTAGGAATCAGATCTGAAACTAAAACAGCCACAAGTTAATTTCCCCATTCAAAAGTATCTACGCTATTGCTCCATCAAACCACCAAAAAATGGTTCCTTAGAATCTTTTTCTTTCTTAAAAATCGTGAATTTGTTTCAAATTCTTGTTTGATTCCCTGGTGCACGGATATTAGAAAATGAAGGTCGTGTTCCCATTGGAGGTTCTCTATGGTTTGAAAATATTGTATTATTGTATAGTAGATTATAGACATATGGGTACCATTAAAAAAAGTTGTTTATACTATTTTTCCATGAATATTATTTCATATTTTAAATCTTTTTCGAAGATAAATTGGTCATCAATATTAAATATTAGTTGTTTAGATTGATTCTTTCTATCCAGGGCCAAAACTTGTTCTCGACAATTTGTGAGCATTTTTCTCAAGAGAAAATTGGAAAGCATTTTGAATTTGAAGTGAATTTTTTCCTTAAGTTTTCAGAAAATCTATTTTCTTAATTTGAAAAAACCACTTGGATATTGCCACGTGGCCATCTTACACTACAAGAAAATCCCAAACTAGCTACAAAAATATTTCAACGGAAAAATTTGTTGCAAATTTCCAACGGACATTCCTACCATTAGCAACGGAAAAAAGAAAAACGTAGCAAAATTTGTTGGAACGTATGACGGAAGTGGCCAATGGATTTTTCGTTGCAAAATTGGTTGCAACTATTTCCCGCCAACTGGCGCGAGATCATTCGTTGCAAATTGTTGGAAATTCCGTTGCAACTTGCAACAAAAATACCAACAAAACATTTTCCAACGGACTTTGCTACGCATATAAGGTAAAAAAATTTATATGCGATTAGCTTGGATTTTTCCGTTGGAAAATCTGTTGCAATTTGCAACCAATTTTATCGTATCAAAAGCTGTAGAAAATTGTCACGGAATTTCCTACGGAATATGACAAGGAAAATTGCTATAGTGGATTTGCAACGACTTTGTAACGGTTTGCAACGAATTTTCCATTTCTAAGAAAATAAAATATGTTAAAAATTTAAAAACAATGCAACGGAACATTTGGAAGCAAAATCTGTTGCAATTCTATGACATGGATATCAAAGCTTTGATTTTTTTTTTAAATTTTACCCATATAATTTGCTACAGATTTTGCCACGAAATTAATTTTCGTGGCAAATTAAAATTTGAATTCCCGCTCGCTCAAAAATTTTGCGCCAAAATTAGTTTTTGCAACGAAATTATTACAAAATTTTGCAACGAATTTAGTTTTCATAACAAATTAAATTTTGAATTCCCGCTCCTTAAATATTTTGCGCCAAAATAAATTTTTGCAACGGAAATTACTACAAAATTTTGCAACGATTTTAACCTTCGTGACAAATTAAAATTCGAATTCCCGCTAGCCCAAATATTTTACGGCAAAAAAATTTGTTCCAACGGAAATTACTACAGAAAAATCCGTAGCAAATCTTGTCATTAAATACCAAATTCATAACCACCATCTTCATTTCCAAATTTCTCTTCTCACTTTTCACTCTCTCTCTCTCCCTCTCACACATTTCTATCCCACTTTCCCTTCTTCCACTAACTACACCATCTCATCCATTTCTCTTCTATTGTTTTTCTTAACTATTTCCATCCTTCTTTATTTATTATTTTTTTTGGCTTGTATCTACTCTTCAAACTTCTCAAGGGTGATTTTTTTTTGTTCTCTCACTTCTCCATCAAACTTCTATGTATCTTTCTCTATTTTTTTTATATAGATGAGCATTGGTTTTTTTTCTTATGAAAAGTTTAATTCATTGTTAGTAGCTTTGTTTATTATTAATGCATTATATTTAATTTATTGTTTGTGAGTTATTTGTTTGCTAATCTTTCCTTTTTTTTTGTTGTACTTGTAGGTGTTATCATAATTTGGTGAGAGAGAAATGGAGATCAATGGAATGGAAAGAGTTCAATCAAATTTTTTTCTTTTCCATCTTTTCTTAATTTTCCTTTATGTATAATTATTAAATTATTTTTATTTTTTTGTAATTTTCACAAATTTTGTAATTTCTTTATTTATTACAATGTATTTTAAAGATTTGATGCTAATGTAAGATATTATTGTTATTATGAAAGTAATTAAGGTTAATTCAATTTTTAATATTTGATAATTATATAAATTATTAAATTAAATTCGCTGCAAATTTGGTTGCAAAACTCGTCAAAGCAAAAGTTTCGCTGCAAATCCGTCCCTAAATAATTAGGATTTTCTTGGAATATGTGTAGTTTTTTTTTGACAAAATTTGCAACAGATTTAATTAGATAATTTTCATACGAACTTTGTATCGATAATTATCCGTTGCAATACGTTTTCGTGGGAAATCGTAGGTAAATTTGTCGGTCTTGTTTTCGTCGAATCGTCCGAATTTTCCAACAGAAGTTGTGACGGCCGCTTATTTGTGGCTAATTTTTCCGACGGATTTTTAAGATTGGTTGGAAACTTTTCTAGCGAGCAAATAGGCACGGAACCGTTTTTGTTGCAATTTCCGTTGGAAAACCTCTTACCTACGAATTTTTCATTGGTATCCCGTTGCTATTTCTGTAGGAATTCAGACATTTTCTTGTAGTGTTATGTTAGAGGACTTAACGGCCACATCATCTATCCATTAGCCTTTAACTGTTAGGTGACCAGAAGAAGCAATTCTACAAACTTTAGTGACCAAATTGTGTTTTTTCATAGATAGGTAACCAAAACAGAAACCACTTAAAAGTTAAGTGACCAAATATGTAATTTATCCATAAAACAATCAGATATATGAAAGGGTTTAATAAACAAAAATGAGCCTCAAAATTGTCATACAATTTTGCCCTTAAAGTACTAAATTTATGCCAATTTAACTCTTGAATTTGTAATTCTGGGACAAAGTGGTCCTTAATTACTTTTTTTTTTGGTGAAAACATGAAAGATAAAGACTAGCTGAATTTAAATCCTCGGGGGAAAGCCACACCCCGCCGATCAGCCTCAAAAATGTCCACAACTCCTGAAGGAGGGCTATAGAAAAACTCCATATCCGTAGCCAAGTCACAACCCATCTTGGAGAGCATATCCGCACAGAAATTTCCTTCACGAAGCGTATGTTGACAAAAGCACTGCCAATTCCAACTCAACATTTCCTTAACATCCAGAAGCAAGGCACCCAAAGGATGAACCTCCAAGTTATCCGAGTTAAGTAGATCAAGAATCACTTTGGCGTCAACCTCACAAATGACAGCACGAAACCCTTCTCTCCATGCAAGCGTCAACCCCAAACGCAAAGCATGCAATTCAGCAGCAACATTCGAACAGGTACCAAGATGAGCAGCAAAGCCCACAACCCATCCACCTTCCGTGTTGCGAATCACACCACCAGCCCCAGCGGCACCCGGATTACCTTTCGCAGCTCCATCAGTGTTCAGCTTGACAAAGTGTTCACCTGGAGGGGTCCATGAGATAGAAGTCGTCGGTCCTGTGGGAGGAGATGGCATCGACATAGCTGCAATGACACTCTTAGTAGTACCGGCAATATTGTAAACAATAGCATCCAAGGAAGCCACCTCATTTGGGTCAAAAACCCTCCTGCACCTAGAGGTCCAAATGCGCCAAATAGTAGTAACAAACAAGGTTACTTGTGAAACAGACCGATTCTTTAAATTCAAACCCTATAATAACCAATTAGACAGAGAAAGCTCAAAAAACCCGAGGTCCTGGAAGAGGGGAGAATACGCATCCAAACCTGTTTAGCCCACACACAATCACGCAAAACATGAATAATATCCTCCACACCACCATTACAACTAGAACAAATAGCAGAAGAAGAGATACCCCAGGAGTATCGCAAAGCATTAGTAACTATACGACCACGCCACACCAGCCATAAAAAGAAAATCCATCTCAGAGGAACTCGCAAACTCCATATATTCGCATAAGAACAGTCCTCTAAACCGAAATTCTCCTGTAAAATAGCTAAATATGCGGAGCGTGTAGAAAAAATACCATTCGAAGTGGAACCCCAATAATACGAACTCATACTAACAACTTTAGGCAAAGGATAACCCAAAATACGAAGAGCAATTTCGTAAGGTAATTGAGCAAACAACATATCCGCATTCCAACTACCACCATCAACAATAAAATCACTTACCATCATAGTTGTATCCAAAAAGGATGGTAATGCCTCCAACGAATTAATCAAAGGTTCCTCAAGCCAAGTATCTAGCTAGAAGCAAACCTTATCACCACGTCCAACTCGCTTCTTCAAACCACAAAAGAGTTCCTCCAAAGCCCCTGCTAGACCCTTCCAAGAAGATGACCATGAAGCTTTCCTAGAACCGGCCTCTCGGATAAAATAAAAAACATCCCCCTGGATGCGATATTTGGCACACAAGCACTGTACCCAGAGACTATGAGGTTGATGTAAGAACCTCCAAGCCGTTTTTTGGAGAAGAACTCGGTTATTGTACTCCATCTGTCGAAGACCAAGCCCCCCAAATTTCTTAGGTTTACAAACCTCATCCCAACTAACAAGATGAAGAGCCTTCTTGTTCTCAGTACCACCCCATAAGAACCGCCTATTGAGCATATCCAACTTATTACGGCAACTAGCTGGTAACTTGGTAGTCAACATAGTATACGTTGGAATAGAGGACATAACCGAACTCACCAAAGTTGCACGACCAGCCATATTCAACAGTTTTGCCTTCCACCCACTAAGGTGAGTAGCAACTTTATCAATCAATTCTCGATACAAAGAGACCCCAACTTTCTTATGTACCAAAGGAATACCAAGGTATTTACCAAGATCATTAGTAAGACCAATGCCCAAAAGATTGCTAACAAGCCTCACATTACTACCAGAAGCTTTCGGAGAAATAAATACTCTTGACTTCTCCAAACTTACTTCTGCCCCCGACGCCAAACAAAACCTGTCCAAAACCTCTCGAACCGTTTCCGCTTGCTTCTCCGAGGCACGACCAAAAAGAAATAGGTCATCTGCAAAGAATAAATGGGAAATAGAGGGACCACCCCTACCCAAAATAATAGGTTTCCACCTTCCGAGACACAGACTCATTAATCAAATGCCCAAGCCGTTCCATGTACAAGACAAAGAGATAAGGGGAGATCGGATCACCCTGCCTGAGACCCCTACCAGGAGAAAAGAAGTCAGTTTTCTCACCATTCCACATAACTGACATAGAAGAGCTCTCAACACAATACATAATAAGCTGAACCCAACTATCAGGAAACCCAAACACAATAAGAGTATCTCGCAAAAAGTCCCATCGGACACGATCATAAGCTTTCTCTAAATCAATTTTAATCGCCATCAAACCTAGTTTACTCCTTGAACGGCGGATAGTATGAATCATCTCCTGGGCAATAAACACATTATCTGCTGCTTGGTGACCTGGAATAAAACTCGATTGCAAAGGACCCACAAGATTATCAAGCAGAGGTCTTAACCTATTAACAAGCACCTTCGTAATCAACTTATAAGCCACAGTACATAAGCTAATAGGCCGAAACTGTTTCACATACTCCGGCTGCTGCACTTTAGGAATAAGAACAAGTAACGTGCGGTTAAGTTCGGGTGAGAAAGAACCAGAATCAAAAGCCTCCAACACCAATTGATACAAATAAGTACCAAAATCATCCCAATAGGCCTGGTAAACACCTGCTTGGAACCCATCAACCCCCGGAGCTTTCCATGGTTTCATTTGAAAAAGCGCACTTCGAACTTCAGCAAGGGAGATTCTCTTATCCATATTAAGGACGTCAACAGGAGATAAGACAGGATGAGGAACAATCCCCAAAGGCCGAACATCACCATCCTCAATGGAGAACAAGTTTCGAAAGAAAGCCACAACCATTCGCATCAACTCCCCTTGATCCGACACCCATTCACCCGAGGTAGCATCCCTCAACAATAAAATCTTATTCCGCCTCCTACGAATAACAGTAGAAAAATGGAAAAAATTAGTATTACGATCACCATGCATTATCCACTGAACCCGAGAATTTTGGGCCCAAAACAATTCTTCTTTTTCCAAAATCTTATCATACTGTGAGACCAAATCCTCCTCTAACAATTCAAGCTGATGGGATCTATGTACCGCCAATGCTCTCTGAACACCATTAATTCTAGCTCGCAACTCCTTCTTTTTTGCAAAAATATTACCAAAATCCGCTTTATTCCATTCCAAAAGAGCCGAGGCAAGCTTCTCCGTTCTATCTACAAATGAACCATCAAGTTCCCTCCACAACTTGCTCATCATCTCATCAAAACCACATTCAGCACGCCACATAGCTTGAAACCGAAAGGGGCGCTGGCTTTTATCCCCCGGTACATGAGGTTCCAATCTCAACAGCACTGGGTTATGATCCGAATGAACTCGAGGAAGATGTATAACTGCAGCCTCGGGAAACATAACACGCCAATTAAGCCTAGCAAGAACACGATCAAGTCGTTCTTGAATTTTCCTTAAACCCTTCCTCCTGTTACACCAAGTAAAAGCAGGACCATAAAACCCTAAATCCAATAAACCACAGTTTGTATCATCTCATTAAAAAGATTGCATCTAGTAAAAGAAGGAGAAACACCACCCATCTTCTCCCCTCCATTCAAAACATCATTAAAATCTCCTAAAACCACCCAAGGCAAAGTGATAGTTCGCGCAAGATCTTCCATATGAGTCCACAAAATCCTTCGAACTTCCAACTTTGGACTAGCATATACAACCGTCAGCATGAACTCCTCCTGATCCTTAGGTTTAACAAGGGCATGTACAAGCTGAGGAGAAGAAATAATTATCGTTAACTGGACTGCAGCATCATCCCAATTCAACCAAATACCACCTGCAAAACCAACCGGATCCGCCACATGCCATTTTGGAAACTTTAATTTACGAAGAACACACTTCGCTCTTGAACCTGAAATTCTAGGCTCAACTATTGCAAAAATTGAAGGCTTATGGACTGAAATCAATTCCCGTGCATGCCTCAAAAACTTCTTACTACCGGCACCTCTACTGTTCCATAGGATGTAATTCATTAAAAACAAGTGGGGAAAGCGCATCTAAGTCACCAAGCTCCTTAGATTGAGCAGCATCCATGGTAGAAACATCCTTTTCATCCGAGGCATCATTCACCTTCTGAATCAAAGCAGAATTTGCTTGTTCCACCACCACCGAAGGCGGCTGTTGCGGTGGAAGACAAACGGCATCAGTGGGCAAAATCATCTCATCACCACACCTTATGTCACCTACAACCATCGCAGAAACAGACTCCCCTGAAACACCAGTATCTGCTGCAGTCGTAGAATTTTGCTGTGCCATAAGATGAGAAAGACCAAAATGGCTAGACCCAACTAACTCCTCCAATCTTTTTGGGTCCAAAGTAATTTGGGTATTAGACCCAGCTTTAAAAGAAAACCCAGGTGGCGGCCCATTACATAAATTACGCCCAAACCAAATAAAGGAAGAACCATCACTTCGAACAACAGGGGGTGGAACTGACTTTTTAATACCCACTTTAGGTTTCCCTTTATTCGAGGATTTAGTCTGTTCTGTCAAACCCAAATCTTTTTTCGGTTTCCAAACCTTTTGGCCATAACCAACCGATTCCTTAAATTTCTCCTTAGACACCGCCGAGACAGGCTCCTTGAAATTTTCCCTAGATGAATCCTCAATCCCGCTAAGAGAGGAAAATCGATTCCGCAAATTATGCCCTGGATTCAGATCTATCTTATTCTTTCCTTTTTCAACCGTTTCCTTCACCAGCCGGCGAACTTTCCGTTGGACAATCATCCAAGGTCCAAACCCCGGAGTGGAAGAAGACACATCAGGGTTTTGAGATGAGGCCGAGTTGCCACCAGATGGCTCAGAGCCATCAACAGAAGTTGAGGACATAGTAGGAGACATGGAACAAGCGTCCTTTCGATGGCCAAACTGTCCACAACTAAAGCAAATCAAATGCAGTCCTTCATACTCCACCCTTTGGATCAAATCACCAATATGAACAAACGATTTCAATGGAGCAGTTAAATCCAAATCTACACAGACTCTAGCAAAGCCACCACGATCGACCGTCTCTGTTGTCTTATCCAGCCTTATCACCCTCCCAACGGTGGAGGCAATCCTCCGCACCGCCATATTTGGATAATACTCCAAAGGTAATTGTGGAAGGCGAATCCATGCAATAATGGAATTAATCTTATCAGAATCTGGTTGGAAGTTATGCTTCCATTGCCGTACAGTCAAGTAATGCCCTCCAATAATCCAAGGACCGCCATCAAGAGCATGAGTGTAATCCGACTTATGCTGGAACTTGAACAAGAAATAGTCATTCCCCAGATCAATAATCTTATACTTTCCCTTAATCTGCCACAAGGTTTTGATTTTCGCCGACAACGCTTTGAAACCAAGAACCTTCCCCAGTAGCTTAACAATGAGGGACTTCCTCCAAGGTTTGCGCAGTAAACGCTTCTCATCAGGCGTAAATTTAACATGTGAATCAGAAGGAGCACCGTCTTCCTCATCAGATACGCTATCATCAAACATGATGCAATCATCACCTTCAGCGTCCTCAGTCCATTCCTCCCAGGTTGAATCTTCTTCCTCAAAATTTCCAGTCACTCTATCCCGATACGAAACAAACTTCGACGGGGCATTAGCCGAGGGGCTACTAGGAGGTCTAGCAGGCACTCCAGTCTCCTCCATCATCCCTCTATCAGGACTAGAATCAGATCTACGCTTCTTGTACTTTTTCTTAGCACGGCGGAGGGCTTCATCCCTCAAATCAGTGCCCGGTGGGTTATCCCCAGTGGTGTTCTCCATCTTGCTAAGTCTCTCCGTCCTTAATTACTTGGATGGAGGACCAACGGCTCCATCAAATTGCAAATTCTGAACATTTTACCAAATTCCACGTATAAAGATTTTGACAAAACAGTTCAATTTAAAGGTCAATTTGTCCCATTATTACAAATTCAATGGTTAAAATTGGAAAATTTTGATAGTTAATTTTGAATTGTTGAATTGTCATTAAGTTCGTGGATGTCCATTAAACTGTTTTTAAAACGATTCACCCTAGATTTTGCAGCCGGAGGGAGTAATTAGGGACCGAAGTGTATGTGCACCGGTTAACATGCATTGATTTTGCCCAAATTTGATTAGTTTCATAGTTTTTTTTTTTTTTTTTGGCACCAAGAAAGCAAGTTTCATAGTTCTGGTTGGATACTTAAGTAAGCTTAAGCAAAAAAAAAAAGCATCCAAATGAATTGCTAACAAGCCCTCTGCTTGGCTAGATAATATAGTCTTCACACATTATGACACACTATCAGTATTTCGAAACTTTGATTTCCATTTCATATAGGAAGAAATTAAGGAATTTAAAGTCAAACCCTAATTAAAAATTTAAATTGGAATTGTAAAATTGACAAAAAAGGTGATTTTTTTTTTCTTCGAACCATGTATGTAATATAAAAAGATGCTTAATAGCCTTTTTATGGACCACATGATGAGAGGTGAATAATTAAGCTGAAAAACTAAATTGAAATTCATCATTAACTAGAGTATATATAACAAGGCAACTTCTTTATTGGCTTATTGCTCAAAAAGGCCCCTGAATTTACACAAAACGGCCAAATAAGCCCCTGAACTCTAATTGCAGCCAAATAAGCCCCTGAACTCTTTAAAAAGGCCAAATAAGCCCTTTTCTGATGGCTAAATGTTGAAATAAGGACTAAACGTTTCAAGATTTTCTCAAATAAGGATCAACATACACAATTCCAACAAATTAAAACACATACTTAACAAATTTTTTATAAATTAGAGAATTCTTAAATGAAAACAAATGTTTCTCATGCGTACACGTTAAATTTGATAGAAAAATGATATTATCGTGTTAATTAAAAATCAAAAACTATTAATCAAAATAAATTCATTAAACGTAATATGATATAAAATTATCGTACGTTTTTCAGTTTATATATATCTCACACACTAGTATTAACTTATATTGTATCAAATTTGTAAAAAAATATTAATTATGTGTTTTAATTTGTTGGAATTGTGTATTTTGATCCTTATTTGAGAAAATCTTGAAATGTTTAGTCCTTATTTCAGTATTTAGCCATCAGAAAAGGGCTTATTTGGCCTTTTTAAAGAGTTCAGGGGCTTATTTGGCTGCAATTAGAGTTCAGGGACTTATTTGACCGTTTTGTGTAAGTTCAGAGGTCTTTTTGAGTAATAAGCCCTTCTTTATTTCTTATTCAGAAAATTAGGAAATCGATAAATCTCCAAATTTAGCAGCCATAGATAGGCGCAAAGGCCAGCTGCAGTGCAATTAATTGAATACATATTAAACTGGCTTTTGTTGGTCTATTCCCGAAAGGGCACACGGACTACAGTTGCAGAAGCCACGTCGCATGTGGCTGCGCTGCAATTGCAACAACTAAAACAATCTGCAGGATTATTATTGCATCGGCATTGTTGTGCTTCGATTCCTCCAGGCAACCCTATATATAAAAATCATTGTTTTCAATTTCACCATATATTAATTATACAACAATTTAAATTAATTTCAATATACATTACTCTCCATCCATCAAAAAAAAGTTTTATATAAGTTTTTCTATATAAACCCAAATAATAACTTATTAAACAATCAAGACTTTGATGCCAAAAAAAAAAATGAAAAACAATCAAGACTTTGTTTCAAATAAAATTAACAAAAAATTAGCTAATTGACAACATATAATATTTTCGATCGACTATGACATTATGTAAGATCACATCAATCATAAAAATTTTAGGTCATGGAGCTAGTCTATTTTAATTAGCCCATCGGATCGATCATTATTGACAACATAATATATCTTGAATTAAAAGAAATTTAGCCAAAAAAAAAACATTAGAAATACATGTGAAAGAGACTTGTATAGACTTACATGATCCAATTAGCAGCAAGACTACAAAGCAGGTTAGCTTGAGGGTGGTAGCTCTCTCCATTCTTGCTTATAGTTAGTGAGTATAGAGAGATGTCAAGTATGAAGTGTGGTTTATTTGATGTGATGACTGCTGAATATATAATTATATATAGATGGCCTTGAGAGAAGGTAAAAAGGTAAATTACAATTAAATATGGAAAGAATAGCCATAGAGACAAATCATTATATCATTAATAGAATAATATCGGATTTTTCTGTAAATAATTGGCAAAAAAATATAATACGTTGAACAAATATTCTACTTTAAAAGGTAATTTTTTTTAGGTAACTTTAAAAGGTAAAATTGTAAATAAATAGAGAATAATATAATATTAATAGAGACAGAGCATGGTATATCACATTAATAGAATATAATAATAATAATAATAACAATAATCTGATTTTGCAGGAAAAAAAATCTGGAAAAAACCTATAATACATTGAACAGAGATATTCTACTCTTTATGTTTTATAACTGGCTCAGGTAAGTTTCCTATTAAGTGTAAAATTTCTGATCAAGACAAATGTAAGTTGTGATACTTTAAATTAGTTATAAATATTTATACTATTTTTTAAATATATCAAGAGCTCCATATTTTCTACAGCATAGAATAAAAATGATATCTTTTTTTTGGTGTAAAAAATGATATCTTTGAATTAGGAAAAAATGGAAATCATATATATATATATATATATATATATATATCCATATTATAACGGCCTTATACCCGAAAAAATCCATTATCCTTTTCATTTGGTACAAATAATTAATTCCTTCTCTTTCTTTTTTTTTTTACCAAAGTAAATTCATTTCCTTTCAAAAACACGCACATTATAGTGCTTTTTAGACGGTCCATT